GAGTGTGAGTGTGGGTGTGGGTGTGGGTGTGGGTGTGGGTGTGGGTGTGGGTGCCGTCCTTACCCTTTCCGACAACCATATCCCACCCACATCCACACCTATGTACCCACACCCGGGCCCACATCCACACCCACACACCCACACACGCACACCCACACTCACACTCGCACCCACACCCACACCCACACACTCGGTCCCCTCGTGGAGCCTCTCTTAAAACTCTACATATGTTGAGAGTGACAGTGAGGGTGGGTCCTGGATGGTTGTATTGTCTATTCTTCTATAGAAATAATAAACTACTCAAAATAATGAGTTAGTTTCAGCATTCTTTAGATGAAATTCGTGTTTCACCGTATATAGTGAAATGATCAATCGACTTATTTCATCTAGAAGAAAATAACATGGTCCATGCTTCACACGATGAATAGATCAGCACGATATCTTTTGTTGGTTGAGAGTAATAAGCAATTTAAAATAGGGAGATACTTTTTAAACACCGTATAGATAACAACAATGTTATAAATATAGGTGTGCGTGCGTCTTTTATCAAGTGAAAAGACAAATATTAAATATTCAACATGCTATCATCTTTTGCCTATGTCGGTACAATGATTCTTCTATCGTCAATCTTTATTTCAACTGCACTTGATGTTAAAAAAAGACCATCAGTTGGAGTTATTCGTTGGGATGCTTGGAATCAAGTCCATGGTCAATATGATGAAATTTCATATTACGTACATCGAGAGTTAAGTCCAGCAGAGTTTCATTATCGTATTCCATTTTATGTATCTGTTGTTTCACCAAACAATATTTCATTTAATGCAGATCAACAAAGTATAATGGATCAAGAAATTCTTTATGCAAAACATGCAGGTATTGATTATTGGGCATTTGATACATACTGTGAATTTGGACCTACTTGTGCCACAAATAATTCATATTGCCAACAATATTATATACAAACATCCCATCTCTATTGTCCAGAAAATCCAGCTTATGGATTAAATTTATTTCTTTCCAGTTCATACAAATCTTTGTTGAACTTTACTTTAGTTCTACTTGGTTCATCTCCTTGTGATGTCATTTTTCAACAACAATACATTAATCTCATGAAACATCCACAATTTCAAACTGTTAAAGGAGATCGACCACTTCTTTATTTATTCCAATTTGATAATGCAGAAGCAGAGAAGTGTGCTGGAGGATGGACAGAAAGTGGACAAGTTTTTCAACAGTTTAGACAATTGGTCATCAGTCAAGGTTTATTACAAGTACAATTATATATTCACCATCATTCCATCTTTTCATAACAGGACTTCAAAATCCCTATCTGGTTTTGATGGATTTCAATGTTCAAAGAGTTCAATCACATGCTTTATCACTTGGATTTGATGCCATTTCAACATATGCACTACCTGGTGGAACCAAAGAAGTAAGAAAAATAATTTTTTCAGTGATTCTCCTTTATTTATTTATCTGATAGGGAACTCCATTTGTCGAATTACTTCATTCAGCTCAACGGTAAAGCCAACTAATCATTTGAAAAAAAGTTTATTCATCTTCAGTCTTATATTTAGATGGTGGCAATCTGCACATCAGATCGGAGCAAAGATGGTCCCAATAACTCCCACTGGTTGGGATCCTCGACCACGCGCTGCACAACCTGATCCATGGGTCGATGAAGGTCCGGAACATTATCTTCAACCAACTGTCCAAGAATTGCAACAACTGATTCAAAGTGCAATTAGTTTCACATGTCAATACAATGAAACAGTTGATGCACAAACAATCATCATCTATGCATGGAATGAATGTACTGAAACAGCTGCATCACTTGTGCCAACGCTTGGAAATGGCACATTGTATGTCGACACAATGTCCAAGATTCTTCCAATGTACTGTTGAACTATTCTTTTATTGATATATGTCAGAGAATCAAACACTTTTTTTACATTTAATCAATTAAATAATAGCTGTTCAATGATATAGATTCTGTATTGAATAAATTCTAATCACAAATAAATGGGGGTGTGGGTGTGGATGTGACTGAAAGAAGAACACCCACACCCACACCCACATCCTCTTTGTATATTAATATTGGAATCATGGCTAGCAATGAGTGGAATAATCTGCGTTATGTATAAGTAGCTCTACTTATCGTTTTTTCTCTTTCACACTTATCACTTGAGTGAATAAACTAAGAGCAAAACATATTTAGTCGACCTACTGATCGAAACTATTTATAGATTGGAATGATCAACATTAAATCGAATAAGAGGCGTCTTCTACTTGAACCGTTGGATATTATTTCTATTATAATTCTTTCTTTTTTTT